TCAATTGATTTATCCAATACACAAACTTTGTTCTTATAAAGAATAACTTTATATTATATTATCTTACACATTATAGTTATAAACTCTTTCTGTCATTTACCCCGCGTAGGGCGCGGATCATCATCTAGTATTGAGATATTTTACATAATCTGTTAATCAACAATTTTTCTTGGTCCCCTATTACATCTAGCGGCTTCGTTGTATTTCGAGACTTATTTATAAAATACCCAGTTCATATCTACCTTTCATTCATTAAAAAGAAATGAGGAAAGTAGGGGTGATTACGGTTATCAATTTTATGTGTTGAGATTATTTTGGTTTGTGGTTTAAGATTATCTCTAATGGATAACTTTTTTTTTTTCGATAAAAAAAAAAACAAAAAAAGCTTCATTTTTTCTTCAGAATTTAGTTTTTTTTTCAAAAATTGAAGATACATGCTTTCCAATGGCTTGTTTCATGTTTTCTTTATAAAAATAATATTTAAAATATATATTACCATGATTAATTAGTTATTAATACCACTTTTATGTTTTGCAATTTTATACTAATTTTATTCAGTTTTTTTAACAATAACCCAACACTATTACTATTTATTATAAGTTTTAGATTACCATATGATACAATTATTGTACATAACATAAATAAAAAGTTAATTATATTTTATAAAAAGCCAATATATATTTTCTAAGCAATTAGCTAAAATGTTCCAAAGTGAGAAATGAGCATATTTTATCATAGCTTATTTTTAAAAAAATTCAAAATCTTCGGAAATTATTTTTTCATTATTTTTATGAGAATATAAATTTTGAAATTGATCGTATAACATCAACACTTATAATTTATTTAAATAAAAATAATAATAACAAAAATTAAAGACAGTTTGTTCATATTAAAATGAAGAACTGACCAATGTTTCTTCAAATTTGAAGTAATATTTTTCAATACTTCCAAATTTGAAGAAAACTAAATAAACACCATTAGAGTAGAAAATGAAGTATAAAGTGTCACCATTAAAGATGCTCTAGAGTAAGGTCGTCCGGGGTTTGCAAATTATTATAAGTGATTAGCTATATACTCCATGATATTGAACAAAATCTTTTATATCTAGAAAACATAAGTAATATATCCATTGAATACTTGACTTAGAATCTTATAAGATATACAGACTAAACTTCTGAAAGTATTGGTAGAAAAGAGAGAGTGGTAGATCATATTCTTTTTTTGTCAACGGTAGATCATATTCACATTCCACACAACCTACTAATTCGTAGACCATTGTTTTCTTTTTAATCATTTAACATAAGGAGAAGATAAATACAAATATAAATTTATGGGCCGATTTTTAAATTTGAAAATAAAATGAAGTGTCTCTTTGTTTAATTTGAATAAGTTTGGGGCAATAATAAGATGGGTATCTTTTCTCCCATTACCATTCTAAAGCTATCTCTTCTCTCCCCCTACCTCACTTCCCATTTCTCTATCCTCTGGGAGAGATTGTCTATTACCATAGGTACTAAAGGGGTCTAATTAAAAGATCCACTTTTTTTTTGGTAAAAGGACTTTTTCTTTTAATGTTAGACTCAATCGATTGTATTTCTATTTTTTTATCGATTGTATATCTAACCTTCTTAGCGATTCTTTGATACAATGTATTTTTAGTATAAGGGGTGTAAAAGATCATGAGAAAACCCAATTTTGACTTTTTCCCTGTAATACAACTTTGACATCTAAGAAACCCTAGATTTCAAAGACAAGAAGTAAAAGGATATTATATTATGTGTTTCATTATTATCAGGAATTGTGTGGCTCTTACTGTGCAAATATATACATAACAGGCTTAAATTTTAATTTTTCTCTGTCTCTCTAGTGGGGTAAGAAAATTACAGATAGGTTTATTTCTGAATGGGGTCGCCCAGTACCAATCCACACACATCTTGTCTCATGTGTTTGGTTTTGTATGAGCGCATGGACTCACGTGAACCTCTAAATTAATTATACACTAGATTTTGACCCGCTTTTAAAAGCGCGAAAATTTTTTATGATTAAAATTTTAGATAATTGGGGTTTTGTCTTAATTTAAAGAATGTTTTGGTATAAAATCAGTTCACCAAAATTTGTGGTGATGATTGTTTTTCATTAGTTTTTAGTTTCAATTTTTATTTTTAGATTTTGTTTTAGATTTGATTTTTTGGGTTTTAATTTTTTAAGTTTCTATTTTTGATTTCAGCTTTTTGTTTGAGTTTTTAATTTTTAGATTCGCTGAGTTAGTTTGAACTAATATTACCAACAAACAAATCTCAATTAATCGAACATGTAATTTAAAACTGAAAATATGACAAAATAATTTTCTAAAAATTTTGAAATAGTTTATTTTGTAATAAAAAGCAAAAAATATAATTCAAGCGCAGAAATTTTTTCTGATTAAAAATTTATGTAATTGGGTTTTATTTTAATTTAAAGAATGTTTTGGGATAAAATCAGTTCACCAAAATTTGTGGTGATAGTTGTTTTTCATTAATTTTTAGTTTCAGTTTTTCTTTTTAGATTTTGTTTTAAATTTTGGTTTTTGGTTTTTAGTTTTTAAGTTTCTATTTTTGATTTTCAGCTTTTGGTTTGAGTTTTTAATTTTTAGACCTGCTAAGTTAGTTTGAACTGATATTACCAACAAACAAATCTCAATTAATCGAACATGTAATTTAAAACTGAAAAGATGACAAAATAATTTTCTAAAAATTTTGAAATAGTTTATTTTGTAATAAAAAAAGCAAAAAATATAACCTGCGTTTTCAGCTTTTGGTTTTGGATTTTAGTTTTTAGATTTGGTTTTTGGTTTTACTTTACATTTTTTTTAAATCTGTAAATTATTTAAGAAAAATAAAACAATAAATTATTTAAAAGTTTCCATTAAAATTTATCAAGATAGAGTGATTGTTATTTAATACAAAAAATATTAACTTGTTTTAAAGTACATGATTTAAATAAGTGATTAATAATAGATAATTTTGTTTTGTTGAAAATATTAAATATTTTTGGGCTAAAAATATTAACATGTTTTAAAGTACATGATTTAAATAAGTGATTAATAATAGATAATTTTGTTTTGTTGAAAATATTAAATATTTTTGGGCCTGAAAATAGTAATTGATTTTTGATCCATTAAGGTGGAGTTTTTCTTTAATGCTAAGCCCAAAGACCAAACAATTAAATGTCATAAAAACATAAGTAAGCCCAAAACTCTATTATATAAATAACCGCCGGTTTAATTTAAGTAATGCGGTTCAATCAATTATATAACTTGTATTATTTGTAACATTCTAGAAATGGTCCAAATTTAAATGACAACTTGTATCAGTAGATAAAAAGAATGACTCTATTTTAATATAATAGATATATACTTAATATTTTCTAATTTTTTTAACTAGTATATATTTTCTACTTTCTCTACAGTCTAATAACGATATTTATATTAATCAGTTCAAATATCACCTCTTATCCAGTGTCTTTTTGTTATTTGAAACACCTCTTATCCAATGTCTACACTAACAAAAATAATATAAAAATAACATAACTGTAACATCCCGGTTTGTGGTATATAGAAAGGTTTAAGAGAATTGATTTGGTTACCTATATCACCAAAGTGCACTTACCTTTTCGGGAGCACATCCAGAGAGAACTCCAGAGTTAAGCGTGCTTAAGTTGTAGTAGTCACATGATGGGTGACCTATCGGGAAGTGGTTTGCGATACCGTGTAAGTGAAGCCAAAGCATGGGAAAAGGTCATGTGGTGATTGCAGCAGGGCCAGTAAACATGACTCTAGAGCCTTGGAAAATTAACGGATTAACAGACCGACCGTTGAACGGGATGGGGCCCACGGGCCGAGAGAGCGGACGTGGGTGACTCATTAGCTGTGGGAGGTTGGGACGTTACAAGTGGTATCAGAGCTGGTTAGCCATCTCAGTTCTGACCTAAGAGGCGTCTTGAGACCTGTCGGGGAGCGCAACAAGGACGTTGCGTTCTTTGAGAGGGGGTGAATTGTAACATCCCGGTTTGTGATATATGAAAAGGCTTAAGAGAATTGATTTAGTTACCTATATCACCAAAGTGCACTTACCTTTTCGGAAGCACATCCAGAGAGAACTCCAGAGGTAAGCGTGCTTGAGCTGTAGTAGTCAAAGGATAAGTGACCTATCGGGAAGTGATTTGCGATACCGTGTAAGTGAGGCCAAAGCACGGGGAAAGGTCATGTGGTGATTGCAGGGTCAGTAAACATAACTCTAGAGCCTTAGAAAATTAATGGACCAACCATTGGAATGGGATGAAACCCATGGACCGAAAGAACGAGCGTGGGTGGCCCATTAACTGTGGGCGGTTGGGACGTTACAATAACCTTCATCTAGGACTGGACATAAAAAACATTGGATTGACCAATATCGTTACATAATTTTTTTACAATAACCTTCATCTAGGACTGGACATAAAAAACATTGGATTGACCAATATCGTTACATAATTTTTTTACATATAAGAGACGATTAATGTTATGCATGTATAATATTTTTTATTATTATAATTGTTTTGTTTAATGTTATTATTCAAACTTTTTACTTGTAGTCATATATATATATAAATTCAGCATTAAGTCTAACCAAGACTAACATTTGTTGTGGGTGTACAATCGGACTGGTCCGGATGTAGAAATTTAAAACAGTATATTTATCAATATCGTCGAAAAATCACTGTACGGGTTGATGTATGCAGCATAACAAACGTAACTCTAGACTCACATAAACTTTTGACCTTAAAGAAAAGACTCACATAAACCATATATTATATATGTATAAAAGAAACCATGTGTGTTTGGCTCGTGTCTCATCTCATGGCCTTTAAAAGGTGTCAAACATAGTATAACTTGGACTCTTTTGCCGTCTATGATCTCTCTCAGTCTCTTATCTAAGATCTCTTTCTTTCTCTGTGTGTGTTTTCATCTCTCTTTCTCATCAATGGGTTCGAATTTTCTTTACTCCATAGATCTAAACGAAGATCAAAACCATCACGAACAGCCCTTTTTCTATCCTTTTCGATCCTCTTCGTCTATTCTTCATAACCAGCATCATCATCACCACCATTATCAAGTTCCCTCTAATTCTTCATCATTCATTTCTCTATCCTCTTACCCCCCTTCCTTGATCAACTCTCATGAAGATCAGCATGTAGCCAATAACAATACTTATCATGCTGATCATCTCCATCTATCTCAACCTCTCAAGGTATACACACACATATATATGTATAGGTGTTTATTATTACTTTTTTTTTGAAACACTGGTTTTTATATTACTTATCAAACTTACTTGTGTCTATAAATTCTATTCTTGATGATATTTTTTTTTTTTCGTTTAATTGTTGAAATTATACCTGACGAAGTAAAATTCATACAACGGATGTCACTTGCCAGGTTTTTAATTTGTATTGAGAAAATATGCATGAAATTTCAATTAACACAAATGGGGGAATATCGCCATATATTATTTTTTGCTAATAACTTTGATCATTGATACAAATCAGGCCAAGATGTTTAACGGTGGATCATCATCATCAGACGATCACACGGTACCAAAGAATGAGAGAAGACTTAAACTAGCGATAAGGAAAAAAGATCATCACGAAGACCAAACCGATTTTCTTCATCAAAGCCCGACAAACCCCAACTCAGGCTCGGACAAGTGGTTAATGTCCCCAAAGATGCGTTTGATCAAGAAAACAATCACCAACAACAAACAGACGTCCATTGATCACACTAACAGCAGTACTAATAATCAAAATAATTATAAAGAAGATCACTATCCTTTAGATCAGAAAACTAGTTTCGAAGAATATCACGATGAAGAACTCAAGAGAGTATCAAGCAAAAAAAAAGTCTCAAGGAGGACGACTACGGCCGCCACCACAGAAAATCGCTATAATACAATCAACGAGAATGGTTATTGTAATAACAACGGTGTGATTAGGGTTTGTTCGGATTGTAACACCACCAAGACTCCTCTTTGGCGAAGTGGGCCTCGAGGTCCCAAGGTAAAATGATTATTTTCTTGGTACTATTTATCTCATACTAGGTGATTTTCCCGTGCTCATGCACGGACATAAATATTTATAAAATAAATATATTATAATAGTTGATTGATATTTACTTTAACTTTTATATTAATTTATAGTTTTTATGTATAATTATATTAATAATATTATATTATTTTAGTTATATATAATTTTAGATATATTATATTTAGTTAGTTTATCATTTGGATATATATATATANCACGGACATAAATATTTATAAAATAAATATATTATAATAGTTGATTGATATTTACTTTAACTTTTATATTAATTTATAGTTTTTATGTATAATTATATTAATAATATTATATTATTTTAGTTATATATAATTTTAGATATATTATATTTAGTTAGTTTATCATTTGGATATATATATATATATATATATATATATATATTGGATTCTATCTATTTCTCTAAATTCAACTATAATCTTTTTTATTCTAAATATCTTAAACTTTTGATTAATTGTTTTATTTTTATGTTGGTTGTTATCTTAGAAATATAAGTATATCTTAGTAAGATTATGTATTTTAATATTTTTTGTGCTTAGAACGAAAAAAAATAAAAACTAAAGTGTCTGATTCTAAATTACATACATAAGTAATAATAAATTTTCAGAAGCTTATGAAAACATATCAATATTTACAATAATTAAATATTTTAGAAATTTAAAATAATTTATGCCTTAGATTGATTGGATGGTAAACTGAAATTTATTTTAAATAATTTTAAAATAAAGAATTATAATTTTCTTAAGTATTTTGATTATGGTTATATTAAATTCCACAAACATAAAAACAGAAAATTAAACATCAAAAGAGTTATTGAGAAAACATATAATTTTCACTATTAAAATATAATATATCTACCTCGTTAAATTATATAGTGTTGTGATATTTTAAAAGAATTGTAGTTATCTGATCAAAAGATATTTACCATTAAATTTATTTTTAGTTTTGTTTTTAATATCTCTTAAAATATGCAGTAAAAATGTGATTGTTATTGAGAAATTATATTATATAAGTAAAATATAATTTATATTTTTTGTTGTAACGGTAAGATATTATAATCAAATAAATATACTAATTATAATTTTTTTGTCAGTTAAACATATATCACTTTATGTTACTTAATTATTTTATGTAATCATCTAATAAAATAGATAGATATATACAAAAACTAATTACTTTGAAAATATATATTGTTTAAATTATTTTTGTAAAGAAAAATATTTCTTTTTCTAATATCAAGATTATTTGTATGAATTTTATTTTATGAAAACACATTATATACAAATACTTTTTTCATCTAAGAAGATATATATATATATATATATATATATATATATATATATATAAAGTATAATTACTTAAAAATTATAATTTATGTTATTTAAAAATATATTTAAGTTAAATATTACTATTTTGTAAACTTTCCTTTTTTATGAAACCATATTATATATATACTTATTTTTTCGTTTTTAAATAGTTTTGTAAATTTTAGAAATATTTCATTTTTGTTTTATATTGTTATTTGGAAGATTTTTAAAAGGAAATAATAATATTTAAATATATTTTTAATTCATTAGGGGTATCATAGTAATCAACCAGCGTGAGAGTTAACGTGAGTGCGACACCTAAGAAAGTGACTTCTCAAATAATATTATAGAGATGTGTCGCAATTGTGTTAATTAGTAACTTTGAGGAAACAAGCTTTATATAATAAGATGTAAGACCAAAAATAAACACAATTAAATATTATTATTTCCTTTTAAAAATTTCCAAATAACAATATAAAATAAAAATGAAACATTTATAAAGTTTACAAAACTATTTTAAAAAGAGAATATAAGTATATATAAATATGGTTTCATAAAAAAAGAAAGTTCACAAAATAGTAATATTTAATTTAAATATACTTTAAATAAAATATACTTTTGAAGTAATAAAATACTTTATATCTATATCTTCTTAGATGAAAAACAATATATGTACTAAGTGATTTTCCCGTGCTCATGCACGGGTATAAATATTTATTAAGTAAATATACTATAATAATTGATTACTATTTACTTTTAATTTTCAATTAATTTATAATTTGCATACATGATTTATATTAATAATATTATTTTACTTTAATTAGACATATTATTTTAGAAATATTATTTCTAGTCAATTTTATTATTTTATAATCGATTTTACGGTTATTATTTGGATATATTAGATTACATTCTTTTATCTGAATTCAACTATAATATTTTTTATTCTAAATATATTACATTTTGATTAATTCTATTATTTACTTTTAGGTTGTTTGTTGTCTCAGATGTCAATATATTTTAGAAAAGTTATTTATAACTTAAGATATATTATGCCTATAATGAAATATAAAATAATTTTGATTTCAAATTACATCAATCGATATAAAGATAATCTTTGAAGTCTCATGCATATATATAAATTTCACAAAATAAATCANCATCAATCGATATAAAGATAATCTTTGAAGTCTCATGCATATATATAAATTTCACAAAATAAATCAAATTAAATTAATATTATTTATCATTTAAATGTGCACGTATTTTCATAATATTTATCAAGTTATATGTTTCTTTAAAATATAGTAGAAAATAAAGCAATAATCAGTAGGAAGTTACATACTTAAGTAACTCATATATTTTTGGAGATTCATGAACACATATCAATATTTACAATAACTAAAATATTTTATAAATTCTAAATAGTTTTATATCTTAGATTTATTGAATGATAAACTGAAATTATTTTAAATCATCTTAAAAATGAGAATTCGGATTTGCTTTGGTATTTTTATTATGGTTATATTAAGTTACACAAACATAATTTTTTTAAAAAAAAATTAAAATTAAGAAACATATAATTTAAATAATGATAGAATATAACATATCTATGTCATTAAAGTATATAGTGGTATGATATTTTAAAATATTTTGTAATTATTTTATTAAAAGATGTTTATTGTTGAAAAATATTTTAATTTCTCTTAAAATTAAGCAGTAAAAATTGTGGTTGTATTTGAGAAATCATATTATATAAGTAAAATCTAATTTATAGATATTTTTTTTGCTTTAGTTGAAAGATACTATAGTCAACTAAATATATGAAAATAAATAAAATATTCAATAATTTTAATTAAAACTAATTTAGTTAATAAAAACATATACTTGTTTATGTTACTTAAAATTATGTTTAAAGTAAATTTTTTTTTCAAATATCAAAATTATATGTGTGAATTTTTGTTATGAAATCACATTATGTAAAAAATATATTTTTCATATAAGAAAATACAGATATAAAGAAAGTATTTTATTAATTAAAAAGTACATTTTCTGTTATTTAAAATATTTTTAATGGATGTTACTATTTTGTTAATTTTCCCTTTTAATGAAACCATATTATATAACATATATTTTCGTTTTTTAATTTTTCCTTTTAAATTTTATAGATGTTTTTTCTATTATAAATCTTAGTTGGAAATTTTTAAAAAGGAAACTAAATACAAAATTAATAATACTGTTTTACTATTTTGATAGTATATTACTATTTTGTGAACTTTCCTTTTTAATGAAATCATATTATATAAACATATATTTTCCTTTTTAAATTTAATATTTTTTTCCTTTTTATTAGAAAAGTTATTTGGAATGTTTTAAAAAGGAAACTAAACATAAAATTAATAATATTATTTAAATATACTATTTAAATATATTCATCAAGGGTATCATAGTAATCAACCGGTGTAAGAGTCAACGTGAGCGCGCCACATAGGAAAGTGACTTCTCAAATAATATTATAGAGATAGTATATATAACCTTAACTAGGTGATTTTCCCGTGCTCTTGCACGGATATGAATATTCATAAAAGTAAAATTTTATAATAATTGATTGATATTTAGTTTTTGTTTTGAATCAATTAATATGTATAATTTATATTAATAAGTATTATATTATTCTAATTATACATATGACTTTGGATATATTATTGTCGGTGTAATTATTATAGAGATAGTATATATAACCTTAATTCACTTTGTAAAAGACATAGTTAGATAGGTGATTTAGTCAAGTCTAATGCATCTTCACTTAGTGACGCTTTTATCCTTAATGTGAAATTAACAAACTTTCAATTGTTTCAACAACTAAAACTCACACGTTAATTTTTACCTTTTTATTAGTCTCTTTGTAACGCGTGTGGCATAAGACAAAGAAAGGCTAGACGGGCCGCACTGGCTGCAGCCACAGCTGCGAGCAACGATCAAGAGGTGGTGGTGGCGCGGCTTCAACAATTACCGGCGAAAAAGAAGTTGCAAAACAAGAAAAAGCGATCTAGTGGAGGTGACAAATACAATCTCTCTCCCCCAGTGGTGGCGAAGACAAAAAAGTGCAAGTTAAAAGAAGAAGAGGATGCCACCGGAATGATTGTCAGAGATTCAGGGATCAGCAAATCAACAACTTCCTCTGATTCTTCAGTTTCATTGAACAAATTTTGCTTCGATGATTTGAGGATAATGTTGAGAAAAAACTCAGCTTATCAACAAGTGTTCCCACAAGATGAGAAGGAAGCTGCTATATTACTCATGGCTCTGTCGTATGGAATGGTTCATGGTTGATCAGATAATGACAGCATCTTCTGATTACAAAAGAGGTTTATTTATAGTCATAAATATATATACCATAGTAATCTTTTTATATCTAAATCTTGGAGTGATTGTGGCTTTTGCAGCTGGTCTAGTATGAGCAAAAAACATTTTATAATAATTGAGTAGTATTTATACTTATTATAGCTCTAAATGTATGTTTTGGGAGATTTTGGTTTAGGGGGTATGGTGTGTGTTATCCGATGAATTAGTCACCCGATAATGTGGATGTTCTTGTTTATCTACCTCTTTATATTGTGTGTTACGTGATTTGAGAAATAATATAATCAGTGAAGAATAGTTTTATCTTTTTTAAAAAAAAAAATATACATGTCATCACAAGCTGGATCAATGATCATAAATTGACGACTCACTTTATATGTGACCAAAACAATTCAATCAAATCTTTTAAGTAAGATCAGAAGTATTATCAGTATTTTAATACGTTAATAGGATTTAATCATAGCAAAAATATTTAGAACACAAAATTTATGTATGGATGAGGGAAAAGTTGATTGATAGAACATATGAATGTATGTGCAGAAGATAATGCGTTTGTGCTGCAAATTAAGGTGGCGACATATTAAAAAGAGATCTTCGAAATATTGCAAGCCCACATATTTTATTATACTTTTCAAAAAAAAATTATTAAATAATTTTCTCTGTTTTATAAAAACATATATGGGGTTGACTTAATTCAAAAGAAGTATAATTTTTGTTTCTTTCTCGTCCTTAAAATTTATTTTATGCTACATATATAGGGCCACTGACTCACTGGATGGTGTACTTTGACATGTTGATTGTGTCTGTACATAATATTGTAACGTGTGAAATTTTGACATTTTATCATTTAGCCATCAATATCGAAGTTATAATAAAGAAGTCCCTTCAGTACACACAATGATTTGAGTAGAAAAAGCTTACGATTTCTAAATATTATTTCCTCCAAAATGCTATACTGACCAAACAATGGTAGTGGTATTGTCTATTTTAGGGATTAGTTGGTTCGGCCCATCTCTACCACTTGTTAAAAGGGTTAAAGATAGTTAAGAAGTGCATGTTGAAAAATAGTTAAGACGTCCCTTAGCACACACAATGGTTTGAGTAAACATTCATAAAGTAATTATCATCAAGAGATCCGAGTTTTGAATAAATTGACGCATGTGGTAGTGGTTTAGATCTTTTTGATCAAGATCTTTATAAAATTTGGATTTAGATTCTATAGATGTTGCACAGGATACAAAACTTCAGATGCCGTAAAGATCTGGAGGAGAAAACTAAGGGGCGGTCACAGCTAGTAGAAAGGAAGATAAGCTCGGAGGATATAGAGAAGACAGTGTAGGAAGCTTACTTTAGAATTAGAAAATAAGAATATTATTGTATTATTGTGCTGTGCATTAATGAATTACTTAAGAGTTGTAATTAAATTGTATATATATATACAACAAATTAAAACTACTCAACTAAAAAAAACTTATATATGTCTAAATCAGTTAATCTTATCATAATAGAATTTATATAGTAATTTTTTGGTTGAAATTGACATACTTCACGAAGTTTCACTTCATAATCAGACTTTAGTGGTCATAATAGTTGGTCCGCAAGAAATACTGGTTACACTAGAAGAAGTGAGTAAAGTAAGCAGAGGAGAAAAAAAAGTTCGGGTGTGGTTCTTGTGGAAGTCAGGAACGATGAGAAGAAGCCAAACAAATCCCGTCTTTTGATTTTTCCTGATGTCATGCGAAAGTGATTTTCGAACAGAACAATTGGATTTGGTAGAAGCAAATGTGTTACAGAAGAATTTGTCATGAAAAACATTGGTGAGGTACAAAAGCAATGGCCTTAATGGTTTTTTACAATCTTGTATGATATATCTCAGATTCTGCATTTGCACTGCTGCAGCATCGAGAAAATGAATAGCAGCAACAAGTGGGAAAACATTGAGAGATAAGAGAAACAGAGTCTAGGCAGGTGGGCTTATAAACGGACATGTTTCACGGCTTATTGATAAACCGAAAAAGATTAAAAAGTTTCATCATATATTTATCTTTATTTTCAGGTGGTGCGTGCATTTTGACTGTGGTGGGTTTGTAAGCTTAGTGTTTTTAACAAGGTGATGAACTCAAACAGGTTTGAGTTTTGCAGAAAAGTGAAGCCTTTTTGTATTTTGTTCCTTTTTTTCTTGCTACAGAAGGAACTTATAGTATGTTCTTGTGCTATAAGCTCTCCATGATTGTCAATGGATATTGTATATATACAACCATATTATGTAAATATCCCCCACGAGTTATATAAGATAAGAGACTACGGTATTTTGAAGTTATACTTCTCAGGTTTTACATAATGAATTGTGAGAATCAGTGAAGAACTAGAAAATTATGGTGAAACTTAGTCAAAGAAAAACATAGCAAATTAAAATATGAAACCAAACCATGGGAAATAAATAGAGAATTACAGAAACTTCAAATCTAAAACAAGCTTATTTCCATCTATTATTCATTTAAAAACAAGCTTGCAAGTGAATAAACATCCAGACAATATTTTTAATTCTTTACTCATGACTTTTGAGAATCCTACGCGTTCTGATATCCGGGTGCGAGATCAGTGGATAGAACGTTACAGTCTTCAATCTCCCAGCTTTTCTGAGGATGTAACTAGCTAATTTTTTCTCTTCTTCTGTTCCTTCATAACCTCTCCACTCGAAAGTTTCAAGATGAGAAGCAAAACATACAGGAACAGAACTTGGTTCTTTCCATCTAACAGTGGGATCTGTAGTCCCAAAAATATGTTTCTGATGAAGCTTGAGAATGCACAGTTTAGATGAACTTAACAAAACCTTTTCAAGAACATTCCACCATTCTTGTTGACATGTGCATATCTCCAAATAAACAAGTTGATTAAATAAGAGATTAACCCGCATAATCTACAAAAAAAAAAAAAAAAAAAAAAAAAACAGAACATAGAATCTAGATCAATAAACCTGTTAACCGCACTTATATTTAGATTAGTATGATCATCACCTTTGAAGTGATTAAACATAATGAAAGTCGTTTCACGGATACAATAGCTCTCAGAAGCTTCTCGGTATCGATATAACTAACATTAATATCTGCTTCTATGAGCTCTTCCATCTTCTCCTCAGAAAAGGACACGTTTCTCCAGTGATCTTCAACGTTCAAGAATTTCAAAGAAGGTGCAGTAACGTTCAACTTCATAAGATGACTTTCACAATAATCAGGACATCTAAGAACTGTCAATCTTTGCAAACAAGGCACCGCGATAGATAGAGTTTTTGTGTTTTTAACACTCGAACATCGATCCAAATACAAATCTTGGAGACTCGGTAGACTAGATAAGAGATTAGATAGAGCCTCATCGCTCGAATACGTCACACATCGAAGTTGCAAAACTTTGAGGGATTGTAATGGGATCTGGTTACCATAACCCTCTTCAAGACTAAAACATTCGATTCTCAAGATCACAAGCTTTTGAAGCTGGTAGATTCCCTTCTTTATTTGTAGAGCAACAGGGTTAATACTAATGAGGTTTAGTTCACGCACTTGTAGCTTGGCTAGTGGATATCCTCTGAGCATAACTCCTGAACTACTTTCTGTTGGAACAATTCTGAGATACAAACTCTCTAACACCGGAGACTCGATTAACTCCAGTGTCTTGTTAATGAATATCAAAAACTGAGATTCATATTTGTGATATGTGTAGTCATGGTAGAGAGTTGGTAACTTTTTCCAGAGATTTCTCCATCTTTTAGACAAGAGTTGAGCATCAAACGCAGTTTTTGTGTGAAGGAAAGACAGAATACGCAAGAGTAAATCATCAGGCAATTCACTGATTATGTCCATAACTTAGCAGGTCGTCCTTTTCTTTGATGTCACAAACTTCTGCTGATAATCATCTAACTGATTTTGTGAATTTTTTTTTGGAAAATTTTAAATAAACGATAATGTTCTTTGTAAACTCATAGATCTCATGATTTTAGTTCCAATCAAATAGTTTTTCTAAAATAGTAGGATTACCATCAATTTTGTAATCATAATTTTCTTGGAATATTCTTTTTTGTTAGATTTGCTTTTTCTCTGTATTTATTTTTACTTATTGTTTTCTTGGATTTGCATACAATTTTAAAAGTGGACTTTCCATATATATTTTTGGGCCTATATCTTTTATATACTAAAAAGAAACATTACAATATTTTAGCTATGGTTAATAACACATGCCATCACTAAAATACTTCAAAAAATCTTTAGAGAAATATATTGGTCCACTAAATATATCAATTATAATTTTCATTAAACTAATCATAAAATCAATTAATAATGTATAATTAACATTTTTACTTCTTTCTTTAAATAAAATGTACAGGATTACCTAATATGATTAAAATATATATAACACAATTAATAATTTTAATAATAAAGATTTGAAAACAATTTATATATCCTCTATTGTTTATGTTTAATTTGATATCTTAACATAAATAAATCATCATATTTATCATATAATAAAAATGTACATTTTCGTATATGTTATGAATATGATCCTTGAACTCTCAGGCATGACACAACGTATATGGATAAGTAGGCCATTTTATAGTCCAATGTACCTCCCGAATCTTGAGAGCTTGTAGTTTAAGGCAATATTTTAAAGAATACAGAAGCAGATTACGTGAAAAATTTCCGGAAAAATACATAGTTCCAGATGAAGAAACCGCTGAGAAATGTTATCCGCAAGAAGCAGAACCTGCATGTCACAACACTACAAGAGTTACCAAAAAAAGAGTTAGAAATAAAACATGACCAAGATGTGGAGGAATCACCTTCTTAGCATATAAATGTATGGAAAGAAACTTGACTGGGGTAAGAAACTTGAGAAGTTTGTCAGTTTGAGAAGAATTAACAAGGAGACTAGTCTCCACCAAGTTGGGCAGATCCACAATTCCACACAAAACTCGAAATGGCTACGTTTGATGTAAAACTTTAAGTACTTCAAAAAGGATCATTTATCTTGAATCTAGACACATTGCTAGAATAACTGTGAATCGAAGTATAATCTTTTATCTTTAGTCTCTCTAGAGAAGGGACGGATATGGTGAATAAAGAAGTGCAAGTGTAAAAAGAAGAGAGGCTTGTAGCAACACTATTCAAGAAGAGATTGTCAAGAACAGGACAAGCCGACATAAGGCGTGTGGAAAGCTTCTTAGTAAGGAACCTCACGTTTGTGAGGTGCAGACTTTTCATGGACGTGAAACAAACCGGTGACTTATCTCTAAAACCATGGCAATCGATCGTGTGGAGTTTCGGGACGCTAGATTTTGGAAGACTGTATTTGGAAAACTACTTGGGAGTTGTAAAGAAACCGATTGTTTACTCAGTCTGAGAGTTAGGGTTTGGAGAACTGGAGCTTCGTGTAATTGCGATGACCTCATCGTACGCAAGCATTGGCATCATCTTGTACAGAGATTTCCATCGTCTAGAGAGTACGTTGGTATTCATTGCATCGCTTACTGGAGCTGATCCTATCCGACAATTTAGCATCTTCGATTCTTAATTTTGTAGCTTTCATCCCCCTAAAGAAACCCTTGGAATTAGACGAAGATTAGAATGAGGAATTCCTTTAAGAGCTGTGACTTATAAAGGAGAGATGAAAACCCTAGTTAAACTTTTGTGACAACCAGTATTAGGCTTTTCAATAATACTATATACTACTCCCTCTGTTCATAAATAATCCATGTTCTAAACTTTTCAAAAATATTAAGAAAACTCATTTAATTTTGATTGTAAATACATTGTTTTTGTGAATAAAAATTTTCCATAACTTTTAACCAATAGAAACTCAATAAACACCATTAATTTTTTTAAAACTTACAATTTTTCTTAAATCATTCATTGAAAAGGTAAAAAATGCATCTTTTTGGAACAATTTTTTTTTCTATAATATACATCTTTTAGGAACGGATGGAGAAATTGAGAAGTTAATTTAGTTAATTGAGTGAATTTTGTTTAGGTGTCATTCATAGGTAAAGTTTACAATTAATTCTTTTAATTTGATTGGTTGTTGATATTTGAATTTATTTGTTTAATTAATTTTTTTTAAAGAAACTAATCATATAATTACATAATTCAGTCTATGTTATCAAATTAACAATCAAACATCTTAAATAAAAACGAATTAATATAATTTATTTATTGAAACCATTAATTATCATAGATTACATTATATAAATTTGTAATATACCTATAGATACATATGATACTACATAAAACAATTTTAAATATATTATATTTATAGTGGATAAAATCATTAATATAATCTAATAATATTTCTACTCATTATATACATATATTTTAAAATATGTCAAATGAATGTAAAACAGTCAAATATATATTTTTAAAAAATTCTAATCATTTGCAATGTCATATGATATTATAGTTTCACTTTTAGAAATGATTAGAGTATTCTTATTTATCATAGATTCCTCCTATGTTAATTGATAAATCACTTAATTAATTGTTTTAATTTGATTGGTTGATGATTTTTTTTATTTTTGTTTGGTTAGGCTTAAGTCACTTTTAGAAATGATTTTTTTTTTTTTGAGATAGTATCTTCATCTATGCTTAAGTCACATTCACTTTCAATAGCAACCACATATTCATGTGATATGGCAGATCTTCTTTCCAATATCGCTTTAAAGTTACTTGGGGTTCACTATTCTTTACTTGAAACTGTAACAAGTTCATTGCCTAAATATTTTATCTAATGAGAATGGTGCATCCTCATATTGTTGTCTATTGTGTCACTAAATCTGATGCAACAATAGAAACAACTACTTCTAGTGAAACTTTAGGTGAATGAACTTCAACCCAGCTTTCATTAATGTACACTTCTCACAGTTCACCACTCTCACTATTTTTGTTATTCTCAATGAACCTAGCATTAACCAATTCAACTATTCTCGTTCTATGGTCAGAACAATAAAAAATTTACCCCTTGGATTTTTCAGGATATTCAATAAAAAATTATTGACAATCCTAGAATCAAGTTTTTTTCATGTGGATTATATAAACTTATTTCTGTTGAGAAACCCCATACACTAGATGCTTCAACTACCATTTTTTCCCCGTCAACAGTTCGTAAAGGATCTTATGAACTGCCTTACTAGGAACATGGTTCAACATATACATTGTAATTCTTAATTCATATATCCACAACGAAAGGGGTAAAGAGCAATTACTTAATATTCTCCTAACCATATCTATTAAAGTACGATTCAGCCTCTTAGCTACACTATTCTTCTGAGGAGTACTAAACATAATGTATTTTGCACAAATACCCTTATTATCAAGTAACTTTGCTAATGGACTAAGAATACACCACCTCTATCAAATCTCACTACTTTAACCTTCTTATCTAACAGCCTTTCTACCTAGTCAATGAACACTTCTAGGACATCCATAGACTTATACTTTTCACCGCTCCATGAAGGAGCATTGAAATGGCCACATATATCGGTGTGTATTAACTCATGAAGCTAAGGTTCTTCTTGTGTAGTTTATACATACATCTAGGTCACTAAAATCCAACAGAAGAAGAATTGAATTCCTTACCAACCTCATATTTCTTTCTTCGGAAATGTGACCTAGTCTTTCACGCCACAAGTAAGCAGAACTTTCATTAGATGTGCTACGCTTAATGCCTCTACTTTCAAACACCAAGTATTACTAAACATTTCAGCAAGATTCCTTTCATAGCAAACAAAAACTTTAATGTTTACTTTCTTATCAAAACAACCCTTTCTTTTAGGACAATCCTACTTCAAGAGTCTCATTTTATTGCAAAAGAAACACTTCATTTCCTTTCGGATTTGACTTTTATGTCCTTTCAGAAAAAATCTTGTCTTTTTTACTTACGGTTCTTTGGCTGCTACTGGCACTTCCAAGACCTACGGGGTTAGCAACTTGGTCTTTCCTCTCCTCTTGAATTAACATAGCTTTTAATTCTCCAACGTTCCATTATTTTTACTGATGTTGTAATTCACCTGGAACTGACAAAACTCGAGAGATAGAGGATTCATGATGAATTGGACCAAAAATTATTCATGCTCTTGTATTCCTAAGGTCTTAAACTCTGCAGCTAAATGGATCACATGATCATAGATTAGTTAAGACCAGTCGAACATTTTTATAGTCATCTCATTTATGAGGCTTCCCACAATGGACTTACAACCAACTTCAACTATGAACATTCCTTAAATCTACTATACAATTCCTTCTCATTCTCTGTCTTAGCCATCGATGACTGAACCCTTTCTACTATCATCAACCTCCCTAATTAAGTTCAAACTCAGCCTATTAGATTGCTCTCGTCTCTTACACAACGAGACTTTTCACATTCAGAGCTATCTTTCCTAATGGCTGAGGACTCTTCATCATTTACTATGGCAAAGTACAAAGTCATTACACCTAGTGTAAACCAGATCTTTTCGAACCACTTGCCATAATTGAGTGCATTCTACTTTACGACAGAGTTATCAAATGTAAACAAATTTGATGAAGCTTCAAACTTTTTATACATGCTT